ATTGTTACAGCTTGTCGAGCAGCATACTGTCCACTTCGTCTGATGACGTTCTCGAAGCTACGGAATGTTCTTCCCGTAGAATCGATTCAGCAAATAGTCGAGCTGGAAGTCGGACAGCTCTCTGTAAACGACATTCTTACATGAGTACACCATTTTCCGTTTTTCCACATCGATGTTGGTGATGATGTCGACTTTTTGATCGCAGAGTGCCTTCAAGATCGCTAATGCCGCAATAATCAGCGCCTTATCCTTCTCCGTGGTTACTTTCATCAGTGTGATGCATTCATTTCTGAGTAACGCCAAAAGCAAGTTTCTATGTGTCGCACAGCCTGAAATTCTTCTTCATATTTATGGTGTTATCTATTAAACTGAGCAAACCAGCCACGTAATTATGTACGTACTGCAATTCATCACTCCCTTTTTTAGAAAACTCTATGTTGGATTTGTGTTCAAAGATTTCCTCTTTGATCCTTTCTTCTCTCGTCGCTATCATCACTTATTTTATAGCTTGAATGGTGTCTCTCATCTCATTCAAATTGTTCAATATGTTCGGAAGTGTCGCCATTGTCTCTGATCAAATCGATCAATTTGTTGTTACGGTACGGTGCGATTTTCTCCGTTAGCAGGAAATACCTTTTCTCATCAGAATTGTCCATTCGTTAATCTGGCATTCGTTGAGTGTGATGAGAACATCTTTGGACAAATTCCATCCTCCGTTGTAAAAACTCAACAGGATTTGGAGAAAACCATGAGACCCTTCGAAATAGATTTTTTTTAAAAGAGGACGGCACCTCGCTTGTTACATTCATGTTCTTATGCGACTGCAATGCGTGCACCTTACTACATAAGAAGGTCCATGCATTCGTCCACGAGAGAAGTGTCGACGCCGTTCTTCAAAGATAACAAGTAAGAGGCTCTCTGCAATTCTTTGTCCTCCCATTCAATTAATGTGGGTAGTTTAGATGCCCAATAATTCTCCTTGATCGCGTATGGCCACTCAGATAATTCCAGCGCATGGAGTCCAAGCACGCATTCTGAAATATTACTCAACAAATACAAGATGTTTCCTATACATTCCGTCGAGAAGGCGGTCATGTTCGATTTGCTCTGCTCCAATTTGAAGCTCAATAGTAACAGGGTTTCCTTCTCATGAATATTCGCCAAGTACCACCTCCATTTGTGTATCTCATCCAGTAATATTTGAAAGTGATTCTCAAGCTTCAACAGTATAATTTCGTTTAACCATTGTTGCTGAGGATATGCCATGATTATCCAGCTAAATATATTTAGGTCAGTACGATTCTCGATGGCGAAATTCAGTACTGCGTTTACCAAACAATAGAGTTCGTTGTAGGTAATGTGTCTACCATTGCATGAGAAAACCTTAGCTATAGCGAGAATGATCTCACGTTGTCCAAATTTGGATGATATATTGTCCAGCATGAATCGTAATTTCTGTCTCTCTTCCAAAGAGGAAAAGTGTCGTATTATATCGTATATATCCAGTTTCTCGATTTCTGTTTCGGTAGTGAAAACTGCGCTGGAATACTCTTTGTTTCTGAGAAGAAACAATCCTTCCTTCATGTACTTATTGAGGTCTGCCTTATATTCCATCGACTCCACTTCTGCAATAATTTTCGCGTACATATTAGCTCTGCCGTTACGCTCCATGTCCAGTCGGAGGAAGTTCTCATTGATATTCAGTAGTGTGTAGTTCTTGTTCGTGTACAAGAGGTATATAACATCTGTAGATTGCGGATTGTGTACGTCCAACAAACAGATCTGATTGTTTTGATCCATGATATATATGCAGATATTAATGTTGAATATATGCGCTAACAATTCTCGATAACTTGGCGACAATGGACCGTGCAATTGTATATGTTGCACGTATTCCTCAAGTATCTTCGGATCTTTCATACAGTCTTCCCAATCGAAACGTTGACTGAACATCTTAGTAAATCGCCCGTAAAGTTCCTTCAGTTGTTTGTTCTTCTCCACATCCTCCTTTAATTTGTTTTCCACAATTCTGTTATTTAAACTTTGGAGGAGCTGAACTATCACTTCGTTGCAAGAGCCTGCGTCGGGCTTCGATTCTTTGTAAAATTTCATCTCTTGTTCGCCGACGAACTTGCCGTATTCTTCGTAATACTTCCTCACATTTGGGTGGGCTTCCTCTTTTTCACCCTCGTCCATCACAAAGGACGCAATGGAGAACTTGAAAGCCTCGTGATACTCGCTCACGTTTTCTGCTGTACAAAATTTTGAGATCATGTTGCGTTGCGTCTCATTATCCTCGAAGAAATACTGGTGTAAATTGCCTAACTCTTTGTGCAGACCTAGGTTAATATGCGGATTACGTTCGATCATTCGAAAATACTTTATCGCATTCTTTGGTGTTAATTCAAATTTGTTGTTAGCAATGCACTCATATCCGGCTATTTGTAATGCGATTTGTTGTAGAACAGCTAAACGATACTTTTTAATCAAGAGCTGTTCAATATTTTTCAACTGCAATTGCATTTGAATATCATATGTACTGTCGTTCGTGTTTCCTGTCTTTTTTTGTGCGTGTTTCTCTTTCAATCGTCCGTAAAATTCAAACAAATAATTAAAGTGAGAATAATCGAGTTGCTCATTTTTTAATTCAAACCACTTATTTACTGAAGCATGTCGCAAATCTTTTAGCAAATCTTCCACAGGCTTCTCACGCGATTGTTGAGGCTCAGTGAAGGAAATGGTAGAAATTGTGTTGAATACTGTTGCATTTTTTGGCGCAGATGGTTTTGCATGCGTAACAATTACCTTCGATATTTCCTTCATATGTCCCTCTCTGTTTTTTATAATTTTCTCAAAAGCGTGTTCCTCAGCATGTCGCATATATATCTGGATATCCTGATACAAACTGATGTTTGTCTCGACCATATATTGTGAGTATAGCATGAAGATACGTTTTTGCGAAATATTCTTCTTTCTCTCGGCTTGAATTTGACGCCCTGAGCGCGTTGATGTATCCTTTTCTATGAACGTCGTGCTTGCAGGTTTTGGGATGCTGGTCTCCGATATTTTTGCGTACTTATGATTGGAATTATTGGCACGATAAGGAACGTATATTCGATCTGAAGCACTGCGGCTATAATAATTCAACTTGAGTTTCCTGTTGTGATTTATACCGTAATATGATCCGTCCATCCAGAATGCCCAGTCGATAAAAGACATGTCCCAGCCATTTTTCCCGTGGGTGCCGTGTTTACCTTCTATGCCATTCTCGCCATTCTTGCCCGAATTGGAAACTACGACAATACCATTGTCGCTACTAATTACTGCACCGGGGTATCCTCCTTGCCCACCTAATCCTGCCGCACCGCCACGTCCTCCAGGACGACCCGCAGAGCCTTTACATAACACGAAAGTTTGGCCGCCGAACGAAGAAGAAAAATAAATTTCTTGACCGTCTTCAGTTACAGCCTCTAGGTATGTATTGCATCTTTTTTTGTATTTTATTATATCTTCTACTGAACAATTATTACCATTTAGCCACGACACTCTTATTTGTCCCAAAGAACGTATATTACGTACTATGGTCCTCAAGTTTTTAATCAAGGATTTACCAACAAGTTTCCCACTGGTTGGGAATTTACTAATGAAATCTACATGAAAAATTCCGGTTCCGTCTCTCCCGTTTTTACCGTCTCCGCCACTTTGACCGTCGCTACCATTTCCACCATTGGACCAAATCTCCAGCATCTGCGGATGTAACATATTATCTGCATGAATGAAGACATTTCCGCCGCTTTCTCCACATTTTCCATGTTCTCCGTCTACACCTACGCCGTCGTTGTCGGTTTTCGCTTTGGCAATTGTTGTGGCGTCTGCGGACTTTCCGGAAATATCCCATTTACATTTGTCGCAAATTACAATCGTTTTAGCATACACCACGATGTTTTTCCCATGCCATGTGCTATTTTCTAGATTTTCATTGACATACATGATGCCAGAGCATATAAAACGAACTTCTTCTATATAAGAGTCATGTAGCAAAATGGAATTGATATCATTGATGATACCACTTAGGTAAAAATTTCCACCTATTATTTCAATAACGACTCGATTATCAGTCGTCAATTTTTCAAATATTATCGGTTTAAAGTATGCTCCGATAATTTCTTGATATTTATCCATCAAAGCAATATGTTTTTGTCCTATTAATGACTGCGTCGCGAATTGCAATTGCTTAAGCTTTATATCATAATCGGCGATATCAAGGTCCATAATTGATTGAAAGAATTTATCGCTTGGTATGTCAGGCTCATATAACTGTTGTAACTTCATCATGTCTGGATATCCATCGCACTTTTCGAACATAGCTAAAAATTCAAGCAATGCCTGAAGAAAGTCAATCTCCTTGGTTACGATGTTACTGTGTGCCACCGAGAGCTCCAGGCATTTCTCTTTAAAACGTCTCATCAAGATTTCTTTTTTGTGTTGTTCAATAAGATTTTTGTGTTCCATCAGAAGCTGGTAATAATTCAACTCATTAAACGGTGACGGGGTTTCAACAAAATGTTTGATATTATTCAAAGCAATAAGTTTCTCTATTAAGTGGCTGTCAGCTGGATGTTCATTTAGAAAACTATCGATCTCCTCCATCCAGTACTCCAAGCAGTACTTGACATATTGGTCTTCTATGTAAGCACGATCGGCAGTATTCAGCTGGGCGTTATGTTCTTTCTCAACGATATTCTCTATTTGCTCCAAGCAATATCCATAATTCCACAGATTTGTTCGTATTAGATTTGGAATATTTATTACCTTCATTGTGTCTTCTTTTGCAATCTTGTTATATATATAGTATTTTGATACGTAATTTTTAATTTTTAAGAACTATCCTTAGCATTCTATGTGATAAAGCATGATATTTGGATATCTTATGTCCTTATATTGCTAGCTATTGAAGTTGACAATATCTGGGAAAAGGAAAAATGAAACGTGCTGTAATATATTGTGAATGATAGAGTATAATTTCTATTAAAGAAAATTTTATGGGCGGGAGTCGAGACATTATCGAATGCAGGTTGAGTAGAATGAACGATTACTTATTACCTTTTTATCACTTATACAGAAGTATCAGATAACATTTGTTAACGTATCCGTTGAAATTGTGGAAAAGTGGAGCTTCAATATTCCCTGCTGCATTGTTCAGCAACACCTTGTCTGTTCCTACGGAACCACACACATATTTAGCAAGCATGACGCATATTACTGACACTTTTGCTATCGTTTGTATTCTACAAAATAAACTACTACAAGCGAAGAGTAGCACGACACAATAGAAATTATTCATATTTTACATTTAAATATGTTCGGTAAATCAAAAGATCACATCGCTGACCGCTTGCCACTCAATTTAAACTTCCTACACTTAAAATGTTGTACTGACACATACTTCCATGATATTACCCTTGACACATTTAACATCGATATATACTTGATACCATATAATGTCATATATGTATGCAAGCTAGCATCTAATTTATTTAATTGCTAATTTATTTAATGCTGTGCATTAATATTTCATATGTGTATGTAATGATTTTTGTGATAATACTGTCTTATGAAAATTTTACAAGCGAAACGTTAACAACATCACAAACTGGTGATTAAAGAGTTTTTTAAAATATCAAGAATTCCAAATTAAAAGAACTTGATGTCTTATATGAAAGAGAAAATTTCACACACATTGAGATGAATCGGCGCTTCATAATCAAACTTTCCTAAAACTTTAAGGACTTGTTACCTTGTTTAAATTTACGTAAAAGAATTTATGAATCTTACCTAATATTATATACAGTGTTGGTCTTAATATTTTGTTCAGTCTTCTGAGTTTATAATTATATTTGTTGCAGATAACAAAATTCAGTTCAAACATCAAGAGTTAGTTGCATATCAGTCTGTGGCCGACTGATCAGAACAAACACTGGCTTCTGCTGTTTGTTGTTTAGTCGTAAGGATTTCTTAAAATCTAGTGGTCCATCCATGGTATCACTAGCAATAAACTCTTGCTCCTTTTATTCGTGCAAATATCGAATGAATCTCGTCCAATTGAAGCTAATCATAAAGTATTAAAATGTTTAATTCTGTTGAGTTACAACCTTGGGGAAATTCTTACGAAAGCTACCTCTTTCATTTTTTTTTAACCGAACATATATTCATATGTAGAAGATAGTCGAAATTTTTCTCACTTCTATTTTCGTGCGTTTTATTCAATAAGAGGATTTCATTCTTTTCCTTTTTTCGAAATACAGTTTCTAAAAAAATAATGTATTATATAGAAGTTTTTCAGTTTTATCAATAATTATATGTACTGACATATATTTCCATTATATTAACTATAACACATTTCACATCAATGTATATTTGATATCATAATTATTGTGTCATATATGTATGCAAGCCAGCATGTAATTTATTTAACGGCTAATTTATTTAATGTTATGCGTTGATATTCGATGTGTCATACATAATGATTTTTGTGATAATACTGTCTTTCGAGAATTTTACAAGCAAAGTGTCAGCAACGTCGCGAATAAATGATCAAAGAAAGTTCTTTGAAATATCAAAAATATATAGTTTCTCATAAGAGATGAAATATTTATCGAACATTAAGGATTTGACACTTAGAATACGCGACATAGAATAATTTGTTTATGAAATTGATGTAAAGATTTTTATATAATACTTATCGTTTTTTAGGAATATAATATAAAAAGAAAAATCTTTATAAGATACCAAAGATTTGATATCTTGTAAGGAATAAAATTCTTAGAAAATAAATTCATATATCAAATTTAAAAGAACCTTTAATATCTTATATTAAAGAGGAAATTTTATATATACATATTGAGATGAATCGGCACTTTATAATCAAACTTTTCTAAAATTTTCAGGATTTGTTATCTTGTTTACGTTTATACAAAAGAACTTATGAATCTTACCTTATATTATGTGCAATGTTGGTCAATTTTGTTCAGTCTTCTAAGCTCAATTATATTCGTTGAAGATAACAAAATTCAATCCAGACTTCAAGAGCTAGTCGCACATCAGTCTACCGACTGGTCGGAGCAAACACTGGCTTCTGCTGTTTGTTGTTTGAGTCTTGAGGATTTCCTGACATCTAGTGGTCCATCCATGGTATCACTAACAATAGATTGTTACCCATTTTATTAATGCAAATCTCAAGTGAATATTGTCCAATTAAAACAAACACTAAAATATTTAATTCTGTTGAGTTACACGATCACGACCTTGGGAAATTCTTACGAAAGAGCTACCGTGTTTTATTTTTTTATTTCTAACCAAACATGTATTGATATGCAGAAGATAGTTGAAATTTTTCTTACTCCTATTTTTCATTTCTATTTTCGCGCGTGTTTTCATTAAGCGTTACATTCATTAAGAGGATCTCAATCTTTTTTCTATGTTTACGAAAAATTCTAGTTTCTGAAAAAATAATAATTCTGAATGAATATTCCGTTATATAAAACTTTTTCAATTTTGTCAATAACTATATATCAAATATATCTCTCAAATATCCAACATATTTCTCAAAGTTTTCGTAAAGACACATACCTATTTACATAGCATGAAAGTCACAATGATCACAATAAAGTTACACAAAACTCATAGAGATGTGCGAAATCGAATTTATTATAAATGTTGTGTTTTTATGACATCATCTCTATGACACCCGTGTGATGTTAACCTCGCAGGGACATCGTTGCATCGTGCATGTGCACACACACACACACACGTTTGTGAACAAATTCTAAAATAATTTTCTCTCTTGCAAAGTGTTATAGGAAGCTTAGTTTTTAGTTATAAAAATAAGTAGTTTTCCTATTACTGGTCGGGTATAAGAGGTAGACAGGGACAGCACAACTTACTATCGGATATTGACTTTGATGCGGTGAGTTTGTCGATGATGATAACATTGTATACATTTTTATAACTTATATTGATGATAGTGCGTATCGTATCGTGTGCCGCGAGGGGATTCTGCGAAGCCGATATGCGTTTTTCCCCTACGCAATCGCATATGATTCTACGGCGAAAAGCAAAAATTTACGGCGATGTTATTCGGCATAAATGGGTTAACGTGATCGCTAAGTAGCAAGGATTAATGAAATTGTAATAGCGAATAAAGTTGAATTGTAATAGCGAATAGTTTTAAATTAGTAGGATACGATTATAACATAACGTTTGAAGATAAAATATTTGATTACAAGAATTATTATTCTCAGACTGGAAAATAAACTTTGAAAATACAAACGTGAAAAGAAAGACGGAGAAAGACGGAATGCTAATCATGTTTTAAAAAGCATAGGATACTTTTATTTTCAGGAGAACCGACGGATTAATATTCCTTCTTAAAGATTAATTATTTTCGGAATGACAACTTTTATAACTTGTTAGTGCACATTCCTTTCTGTAATATATTAAGTAAGTCATTTATTTTAATTAAAATATTAGAAGGTTACATTGAAAGCCGCTATTCACGCGGCTTTTTCGTGGCATATGCTGTCGGTATCCTGTGGGTAGAGACCATAGACATGGTAGAGACAAATGTCTCTTATGTCATTGTGAAGTGTGAACATTTTCTATTAACATTCAGTCATTAGACGCTATCTTTTGTTTACACAAGTGCTTTTCTATAACCGGATTATGGAAAAAATGGAACGCGATAAATTGTTTTTCCGATATGTATTTCTATATTACTTTGATTTAAAAAAAAAATGCAGCTGAAGCTCATTGATTGCTTACGAAAATTTATGGTGAATCTGCTCTCATCGGAAACAGTATGTAGATATTGATTTCGACGATTCAAAAATAGTGATTGTGACATTTACGACAAACAACGGCCAGGTCAATCAAAATATTCGAGGATAAACAATTGCAAGCTCTACTGGAAGAAAACTCTGCTCAAACATTCAAAGAATTGGCTCAACAGCTCGAAGTCGATAAATTAACCATTTCACGACATTTACAAGCCATAGGAAAAATCCAGAAAGAAGGGAGATAGCTTCCACATGAATTGACCGAAAATGCCATTACTAATCGTTTAAACATCCCAATTTCTTTGTTTGCAAGGCATAAAAAGAAAAGTTTCTTGTGGCGTGTCGTGACCGATGATGAAAAATAGACATCTATTTCGACAACTCGTAACGCAAGAAATCAGCTGAACCTGGTCAACCATCAACGTCGACACCAAAGCGAAACATTCACGGCCACAAAGCGATGCTCTCTACTTGATGGGATATGGAGAGGGTTATGTATATTATGAGCTATTTAAACCGAAAGAAACAGTCACCGCTGAACGTTATCGATAACAATTGAAACATTTGAATGATAATTTGATGCAAAAACGATTATCAATTGCATTAAATCGCCGAAAAGTGATTCTTCTCCATGACAACATTTGGCCTCATGTTGTTATAACCGTGAAACAAACACTGATGGAATTCTAATGGGAGGTTCTCCCACATCCAGCGTATTCTCCGGATCCGGCCCTAAGCGATTACCATCTGTTCCGATCGATGTAATACATTTTGGAAGATACACATTTCCATAATTACGGAGAAATTGCAAATTGGGTTGCTAAATGGATTGGCTCAAAAGACAGACCGTTCTTTCGTCGCAGAATTTTACTTCTGCCAGAAAAGTGAGTAGTGATAAATACTTTGATTGATGTATTCACACATTTTGTTATTAAAATACATGCTCAGAAAACTCTAAAAGCAGCGGTTTTCAATGCAACCTCCTAATAAGTATTTGTTCATAATTCCGACAATGTTAATTTATCGACCTATGTTTGTAAGAGTGAGGGTGATAGCTTTTTAAGGAATTATCGACTATGCGATATAGGAGGTTATTATGGGTCGAGAATAAGAGATAAACAAGGACAATACAGCTCACTGTCACATATTGATTGTGGTGCGATGAATTCATCGACGATGATAACATTGTACACGCTTTTATAACTTCTATTAATAATTGTGTGTATAGTATCGAAATCCCCGTAAGGGGATTTTGCGAAGCCGACATGCGTTTCTTTTTTACGCAAACGTGCATGATTGCACAGCGAAAAGCGATAATTTTATTAATATTAAAAGCGGCAATGTTACTCGGCATAAATGGGTTAATGTGATCGTAAAGTAATGTTACGTCCTGAGGAAGGACGCAACGTGCTCTCGCTATTGCGAATCCTGCACGTACGTGCGTATGCGCGATGCAGCTCAAAGACCAGAAGAGTTCATTTACTCTAATCGCGATGTACGGCGGGCGATCCTCTTTTAGGTCAGAGAGTCTCTTTATCTGGAATGGGACCGCGAGCTAATAATTGGAATCAGGGATGAATCGAGAGGGGGTAACGTGATTTAAATCATAAAACAATAAATATAAATTATAGAAAATCAAATAAATTATAGAATATCAAATTACATTTTATTATGGTTGAACCGAAAGTAAATATAAAGTGATTTTAATAAATATTGTTGAAACGCGGTTCAGTACAATTAATTTGCATAATCAGTCTAAAATTATACATGTTCATAAATGAATGGCCGGTTATGTGTGTGTGTAATGTAACAAAGTGTGTAGCACAGAGTGAGGAATAGGAGGTTCGATGGTGAGAAAGGAAAGAGGATCCAGAGAGGAAGCAAAGAGAAGAGTAGAATTTATCTCCCAATGACAATGAATCGAAATTATAATTTATAAGAGAAATGATTCACTGATCTGGAGATTTTACAGAACTTCGATAGAGTTTCGATAGATAAAATGGCAGACTTGAGTAGATGAAGAATTGAATTGTGTCAGATGCCTCATAGTAGTATTCATAACAAATTTAATCCGATATAATCTAAAAGTAATATAGTTCTAAGTTTTTTTATATTTTAGATATATGCTGTGAATTAAATATTTAAATATATTTTAAATATATTTTAAAACTTTTGTTGTTGTAAAACTTGTGTGAACAAAGTAAATCAATAATATGTAAAAAGAAATATATATATATATATATATAAGTATATACTTATATATATATAGTTTTATTAATATAATATGGTATATGGTTTTATTAATATAATATTTTCATTGACAGCCTTCGTCATTAGCTATGAATGACGAAAATATGATGTTATTTCTCTATGTGATGCAAGTAGCTAACCTATAATGTACACTACAATTTATAAATTTAATCTAATAATCCGAGACTTCTATTGCCTGTTGCCTGGCATTGTGCAATGGCCTTTAGGCTTCGACCCACTGTGCGCCTGTTTCTCGCAGGCAAGCACGCGGTACTTCCGCCGGCGCCCCTCGCGTAGCTATCGGTGCCGACCGCGCCCGTTACGCGGCACGCCCTGCGATTCCGTTGCTCGCAGTCAAGATTCGGCTGCCTGGAGATATAATCAGACGCGACGACGAGACGTGCTCTCCTGTGCGGCTTGACGTTCATTGTAGCAACTTTCTGCTGCAGCTCCATGCGGCTTTTTGTCGCGCCCCTCGTTACCGACGCTCCCTCTAGGCTTTCCCGGAGCTGTCTTTCTCTCATACTTTGGATTCGAATCACCGCACTGTACACTTTATTGAGTTGAAAGCGGCGCTGATATACCCTGCTGTAGAGATGGGCGATACAATAAAAAATATCGATATTAGTAATATTGATAACACTAATATCCTTATTTTTGATTATGTACCTACTATATATTTATTTATTGATTTATATTTGTTTATACTAAAATCTATTATAGTTACCATTTTTGGAATGCGTCAGAAATAGATGTATTCCTAGTTATTTTATAGGAAAAAAGGAAGGAGACCAATTACATTGACGAATTGCTCAATCGTTATGTAACCGTTGTATTTTCTGAACGCAGCCTTATATTTAAGTCCGTCTTAAGTTTATGTTTAGATACTACGTAGCCAATGAAATGATCCATACAATCTGAAAATGAACTTAAAACGGTCTTAAATATAAGATCCGAGTATGAATACTAGCCTAAATGTGTGCAGATTAAAAATATTATTTGTTTAGTTTCAGCGACATTTTCGTTCAAGACGGAGTACTTTTAACAAATTATATGATATGTACGCAAATTCAGAAAGCTTCTTAAATTACCCGCACTTAGGTTAGCATAAAAGTACGCACTCTGAGCAAGTGCGCCTAATAACAAAAAGTTACTGTGGGACGGAGCGAGTGCATGTCAATCGAATTCACTATTAATTTGCAACGGTTTGCGACAATTCAAACGCAAATGGAACTGAGAATGGCTGTGGTTACGTTAGTTCCAAAAGTTTCGGTACGCTAAAATTTTCTCCCAATAAAATAGTAATGATTCGTATTGAACTGTATCGGAAGTCCGATATTGCTCTTGAAATATCGTTACATAGTAATATTGAAAAGAAAAATATCGATACAAAATATCGATATTTAGATAAAAAAGTATCGATATTTTAAAATATCGCCCATCCTTACCCTGCTGGGTTGAGGCTAATGGTTCGGATCTAGTATTCCGATTCGTGTTTGCGGCTTTGCCGTGATTTAAGAGCGGGCTTGGCCGTCTCCTTTTGATGCTTTCGTGCTCTTTCTTTCTCTCAAGTAGTCCGTGAGATCTTGGCGATTTCAGGAGCAGCTTGGCCGCTTCCTTTAGAGCCTCGTGCTCATTTTCTTTCCAAGCATACGCGAGTAAACTTGAATCTTTTCAGGAGCGACTCGGTCGCCTCCCATTGGAGCTCGGTGCTCTTTTTCCTCGGAACTGTGGTTTATTGCTGGCCATCACGTCCGAATCGGAACGTCATGAATTGGTAATCCAAGTATTCTTTGAAATATCAAGAATATGTGGCTTCTTATAAGAGATGAAATATTTATCGAACATTAAGGTTTTGACATTTAGAATATGCGACATAGTAGAAAATATCTGTAAAATGGATATAAAATTGGATATAAAAAAAAATATCTATAAAATGGATAACAAAATTCTTATATAATGCTTATCGTTTGTTGAGAATATAAAAGAAAAAATCTTTAGAAGATATTAAAGATATGCCGTAAAGAGTAAAATTGTCACGGAGAAAATAAATCTACTTATCCAATTTAAAAGAACCAAATACCTTATATGAAAGAGAAAATTTTACACATACACATTGAAATGAACTGGCACTTTATGATCAAACTTTTCTAAAATTTTAAAGACTCGCTATTGTATTTAAATTTACACAAAAGAACTTATGAATCTTACCTAATATTATGTGCAATGTTAGTCTTAATATTTTGTTCAGTTTTTTAATTATATATATTTGTTGAAGATAATAAAATTCAGTTCAAATTTCGAGAGTTAGTCGCACATGAGTCTGCGGCCGACTGATCGGGGCAAACATTGGCTTCTGCTGTTTGCTGTTTAGTCTTGAGAATTTCATTGTCTTGAGAAGTTCATTGCTCGAAATTTGTCAAACAACACACGTATGTTCGATTCAACTTCCTGAGAAGCTTCTTAAACAAAAGAAAGCATCTATTAAGCTAAGATAATGGAATATTTAGATGGAGGAAATATGTGTAAGACGTATTTTTCAACGGCTGTAAGATTTTTATTCCAGACAGCGTATTGTAAAGAAATATTTCACAACTGTGACTCTCTAATCAAGTACTGAGAACTTATAATATATTAAATAATAATGTTTAATAAATAATAATTAACAATTAAATATAACACCGCCATTGTACTTAAATAAGGATATGTGTATTCCTAATATTCTACATAAATATACTTATTGTTTGGTTGATGGATTAAACGGCTTGCTGGAGAATATCGACAGTGCTTTCGTACATAGCGTTCATCGTCATCGGCAGTGCTACTTCATGTGTGGACTCCACTCCTTACTCCCTATTTTTATAATTATGGCACGCTGGTCTTTATGGCCCTCAAAACATAAAAACTTACAGGTATTTTGATCATAAAAAATATATATAAACTAACGAGAAAATAAAATTGATCACATTAAAAATCTTACACATATATTTTAAAATAGCATATAGACATATCAGAAATTACATTTATACATTTAATATAAATTAATATAAAATATAATTAATATAATTAATTATAATTATATTAATTACATATAATTAATATAAAATATAATTTAATATAAAATACGACATATGTATAGTCAATCTTTATATCTGACAGATATAAAAGTAACAAAAGTTATACATATTAAAACTATTATACCATATACATACTACTGTGATCAAAAAATAAGGTGAATTTTTCATTTAAACTTCGCGGGTACTATAAAATCAAGAAATTATTTTTTCGTGGGTTGGTAGCACTGTCTTTGACATCTATGCAGAGTTTCATGTCAATATATTCAATTGCTGCAGAGCTATACGTGTTTTTGTAAACATGCAAAAGTGAGTTTTTCGATTTTTACTATGTCTGATTTTGTTGAGCAAAGAATTTGCATTAAATTTTGTTTGCGGAATGAATATTCTGCCGCGGAAACATCAGGATGTTGCAGAAGGCCTTTGGTGATAAGGCTATATCGCAAAAAAAGTTTACAAGTGGTACAAAGACTTCAAAGAAGGCCGAGAACGAGTTCAAGACGAACAGCGCCTCGGACCCCGGACGACCATCAACATCTACCGATGAAAGTCACGTTAAGGAAATCAAAGATTTGCTGTTCGAAAATCGTCGATTGACAATTAGAGACCTTGCTGATGCTACGGGCATTTCATTTGGATCAACCCAAACCATTTTAAAAGATGTTTTGTGCCTCAAACGCGTCAAATCTCGATTGGTTCCAAAAACCGTCCCACACTGCATTGGTTCTTCGAGAACATTTCGCCAAAAATTCGATCCATATTGTTCCACAACCACCGTATTCGCCTGATTTAGCACCGTGCGACTTCTGGCTGTTCAACAAACTCAAAAGACCGCTCCGGGGACACCGTTTCGACTCGATTGAGGAGATAAAAGCCGAATCGAAGAAAGTATTGAAGGCCATCCTGGAAAAAGACTTCTCTGACTGTTTCGAGGATTGGAAAAAACGTTAGCATAAGTGCATTGTGTCGGACGGGGAATACTTTGAAGGCGATGAAAATGATTTGGAAAAATAAATAAAGATTTTTCATTTTATGAACAAATTCACCTTATTTTTTGAACACAGTAGTATATATCGATTAAGATTATTGATAATCTCGAAGAGAATATTAAAATGAATCGCATTATTGTATCAAGATATAATCACATTAAAAGATTAAGATATAATTAAATATCATATATCAAGGCCAGAAACGTCAATAAAAAACAACTCAAGTAAAACAGAAAATTATGACATCAAAATGAGGAGAAAATGTGATTGAATCATGATGAAAAAATGAGTTTTCTTCATCATTCATCATTAGACGTCGTTTCGACATTATCATTATTTTCTGCTCTGACTTGGAAGTGCCTTAACATGATATCCCTTCGCTTCATTTAGAATTGATTTCTAATTCAAATAGTTATTTCCTTTGTGAATAAATAAATCAAGACGCTTAGTAAAATGTTGTGACGAATTTTTTACCTCTCATTCTCGAACGATCAAAATTCTGTGTATCGTACCGCGTGAGAAACTTCTCGTAGTCTGACGATCCTGCGAATATCTTCAAGATAGAAACTTGCTGATCGTCGGGGATCGTTTCTCCAGCAAGTAGATTTGTCACATCAATATTACTACTATTTCGATGTGGAAGGAAGTCGTTGCCCTCTTTATTTATCAATATGTGTCCGCATACGTTCAAGGGTAAATTGTCGCATCCAGTTACGCTATAGCCGACATGAGGAACCTTCGGTCCATGCTTAATTTCGCTAATGCAAGGATTGTCGATATTAATCTCCAATTTGATTGTTTCCGTTTGTTTGTTGTCCTTTTCGGATACGAGCACTTTCAACTCAGCTTTCATTTGGACTGGGAAGAAACCTATCTTAGCCTCGTACGGGGCATCAATATATATCGTGTCGTATAGAGTAGGTTTAAAATTCTCTAGTCTGAGATTAATGGACCTTCCTTTCGCGTCCTTGTATTTTCCGACAAAGTCACAGCATTTTTTAAACGCTTCATTCAGAGCTCTCGTACGTTGTTCCTGTAACTCCTTGTTACTCAATACTTTATTTACAGTGAGATCCATATCATAGTTATTGTTCTGTGCCCAATCTTTCGCGTCTTCTTCGTCTTCCTCTATGGATTTCTCACTTGAAACACTTTGGCTTCTGAATTTTTTACCATCGATCAGTTCGACCTCTATCTTAAATTGATGCCATCCGTACAACAAGCGGTCTCGTATACCGGGGCTAATTTCGATTACATTCGCTAATTCCTCCCTGAACGTCTCTGCCGACATGCTATCTAAGCCAGGTATGTACGGGCAGAGCGTTTCATACAGGCTATTTTTGGACAAGTTTATCGAGTCACTGTACAATCTGTCGGGCCCACTAACCTGGAAGTAACCGTTCTGCGACAAGATCTTAACCACTGTGCCTTGTTTACCGTCCAACAGGATCGAGATATACTCCGACAGGCCGTGTGCCTCATCCATTGGACTGACGAGGATCAGTCCTTCGACATTGAACCCGTGATTTTCCAGCATACGATGGAGAACCCAGCGACATGCGGCCACGCAGGTCGTGTCGATTGGCACGTTCTCGCGCACCATGTCCGCGAACAGCTTGGGATTGCGGTTCTTCATCAGCAAGTTTTGTAGATTTCTGTGATATTCTTCTTCGGACATGACTATAATCTTCTCCGCTTCTCCTTCTCCTCTTTTCATCTTCTCCTCCTCGTATTCCCGCTTGTAGTGTTGGAACCTGTAATAGAACTGGCCCTTCTTATAATCGATATTCATCGATTGCATCGGGTTGCTAGTATAGCTTAGTATGCATGACACGACAATATGCATGACAGGGCTGACGATCTCTTTGTCGATCACCTGGCCGGCTCGTGCACGCAATGTCGTGTTCCACTTTGTTATGACATCGTACCCGAATCTGTTCATATCCGTGGTTATATCGTCAACCGCCGAGTTTTGTTGCTGTTGGCGGGTACTCGTGTTCATCTCACTCAACTCGTTAATCTTCGTTTGCACACGCTCGTTCAACTCGTTCAGCATATTGTCCGTCACGTTCCTCAGATCGTAGAAAACATTCCTCTCCTTCAAGATCCTGCTCGCTGGACCTGTTAGTTCCATCAGTCTGTTCATATTAAACGAGCTGTCGAGCGGTGCACGAAAAGACCCGAATTTCTCGACGATGTTTCTCAGGGTGTACTCCACGCTGCTACATATACGCGACAATTCAGAAGTTGTATTGCTCGCAAAATAATCGTTGGTCAGGTCTTTTATCATCGCTGTCGCGTTCTGACGGCCTAACGTTTGATACGCTGTTTTCAAAGTATCGAATATCATATGCTCCTCTATGGCTTTATCGATCTCCTCTATCATGAAGGAACCGATGTCCCGGCACAAGTCCTGCATGTACTTGTATACGTTCCAACCAACATTCGCGCTTGTCAGACTAAACGTGACACCTTGCACAGTACTTATCGTGACACGCTTCGTGAATTCCTGCTCTAGCAAATCGGTCCCTTTGTGCGCCAGTTCGTTGAACACCTTACCCGACATCTTGGTGACCGCTCTACCAGCTGACGAGACGTTGGGTTCGACTATACTGTTTACGTAGGACGACATTCTGCTTGCGGAGGAGAGCATCGCTTTGAGGCTGAACTTCAAACCAGTGGTTGCCAGACTCATAATTTTATGTTTCATATAACTTTTCCAGCTGAAATAGCCGTCCCTAAAAGCTGAGATTGCGAAGAAAATATCGCTCACACCCTGGGATATCAAGGCGCTGGCTATATACGTCATAGTGCTGGCCCAAAAGATTTGTATTATGGTAGCAAGTATGATCTGCATTATGCCGAATACGACGACCGCAGCGGCCCCGAATATCATCATCCTGCTCCATCGTTGCTCCTGAAGTACCAGAAGATCACCAAGACCGTTCATCGTAAAGATCTGTAGCTCTTCGCTCGGATAATCGCCACTACTGAAAGTTCCGTTTGTTTCGATATGTTTCAACAGCGACATCATGCTGCAGTCCGGCACGTCCAAGGTCTTGAACGTGTTTTCCAAAACTTCTAAGGTTTGGACGACATTCGTTATCGTAGCCTTCTTGCCGAGATGATTGTGAGCGTCTATAATGATCTTGATAGTTTCTGTTGATCCTTCGTAATTCGTCGATTCGCGTGTACACCTCAAAGTTTCACCATCGACGAACACTAAGATGTTCTCTCGCTCTTTTTTTGTTAAACTATAATAAGTGTATATTAAAATTAACGACACTTTGGGGTGCCACACTGCTGTGGCCATTTCTGCCGATGTGTTCAACGATTGGCTCGTATTTTCCATAGGATTTTGGCGTTTGAAACTTTTAATTACATTTTCCTCCAACGACTCCATCACGTCGATCCATTTTCTGTGAATGATGTGATTAAATAATTCTGCATCCTTATTCGTCTGCGGTACCAAATTGTTTTTATAGAGTACTTGCATTAAAACATCCTTCCCACGTATTATACGCTTGTACATATTCCGCAATTTGCACTCCAGACTATCATTATTGATGGATACCTTGGCGAGTTTAACGATCTTCTTATCTATCAACGAACAGATCAACGATTGATGCGGTTTGGTCATTAACTGCAGGTTAACGGTTACCGCTTCGTCCTGAAAATCTTTTACCAATTTCTGTAACGCTATTCTGTACATGAAGCAGATGTTCAACAGTTGTATCACGAAGTTTATATAGATAGCGCAGGAAGGTAGTTGAAGATTCGCGATCTGGTCGTATGGGACGATTAATCGGTAAAGGTCCTCCTCTCTATCTGATAGAACCTTTTGCTTGACCAGATCTGTTAAAATCCGTTTTGCATCTTCCTCCGAGATATCTCGTTCGGTCAAATCCTTTACGGTGATCGAGTCGAAGCACGGAAAGATCACGTTCTCTACTTTCCTCGCATTGTAGATTGCCTTCTTGTTATAAGTGAAAATGTTTCTGCTTTTCAGTATCTTATATTTCTCATCACTGATGAATTTCTTGAACAGTATCTTCTCCAACGTGATATCTCCGTCCTTGTGCTGATTGTGCTGTTCGGTGTCGTCGCTTGTGTGGAGAAGCAGCTGTTCTTTATTGCATTTTAAAATATGTCTCTGCAGTTTCTTCTGCTCGATCATATTGTCTAGCGATTTAAAGAAAGACGGATCAATGTTCTGTAGTTTCCATATACGAATCGTCACGTATTTAACTTCATCCTTCAAAATCTTCTCCTTCACTAACAACTTCCAGAATTCCTTCTTGTTGGGTATTCTCACCAATTTCCTCATATCCTTCTCGAATTGTTGTAATTCTATAGATAAGCCGCGTTTTTTCATAAGAAAGTCGTTCAATTCTTTCGGAATTACTCCATGATTCTCGCAGATCTCTTTCACGATGCTTTCATCAATATTCTTCGATACTCTCGGTCTCCTTAAAATGTCGTTTTCGATCAAGTCGAGGTACAAAGTCTCGGCTAACTCCTCGGTGATATCGTGTTTCTCGAGATTCTGTGACGTTACGTTATGACCCAACATATCATCAATAGACTGCAAGAAGATCTGATATATGGTACTGATATTGTTATGTTGCTCCTTGAACGCGTCGATCTGCATAATACCGAGATCCCGCCGCTTCAGCGTGCTGATGATATTTCCAGCCAGCAGCGCGTAATCACGATGCTTCTTCAAGAGTTTCGCCGCCTCGCGCAATTCTTTTTTGAGTTCCTTCACAGCGCGCCTGTCCTTCTTGTCGATCTTCTTGATCAACGAGAAAGCTTTGTAATAATGCGCGCTTTCCGAGAAATTAGGCTCTTCTTTGATAACACGATCAAATAGTTCGATTGCCTTGTTCTGCTGCTTGTTTCGTGCGAAATATTTGGCAAGCCTGATGATTTGGGTGGGTTCGCGAGTCCACTGTATCCAGTCTTTGCTCTCTTCCGACTTCAGTGCCTGCAAGCGATCGATCAGTTTGCTGAGGGACGCTTTATATATATCCATGTCCAGTTCGCCTAACGTGTCGTTTATATATTTGTTGTTCTCATCCAACCAGAAAACCCACTCGTCCAGGCAGCTGCGCAACAGTATTTCTTTCACTTCATCACATACCTCGTCCTTCAGGTTCTTTTCCAGCTGCTGGTAGACTTCCTTGAATTGGTGAAAAGCATCCTCCTCTACGCTTATCTGCGTCTCATAGTGTAGCTTGATGTTGGAGATGCGACGGATCTCCTCAAAGTCCCGCTCTTTTTTCAGGTGCGACGTCTGCAAGATACTTTGCGTATACCGCAAGCCCATGATAATCAATCTACCGGAACCATTGTTGCCATACCGAGCTGCACGGCCGAAGGCCTGTTGCTCTACCCGATTATTGTTCGGTAGATACGTGAGACAAACGTGCAGACCGCCCGCCTTGTCCAACTGCTCGGTGATCTTGATGTCGGTTCCGCGACCGGCCAAATTGGTTGCGATGATAACTTGACCTTCACGCAAATACTCTGCGGCTATGTCGAAGGATTCATAGTCGCGCGTGTATGTATGTAAGTTTGTCATATTCTTGGCGTGTAACACGTTATATAGAGACTCTACGTGCTGTACAGTCTCACAAATTATCAGCACTGATCGGCCTGCTTTCGTGTAAGTAATGGCTTCCGAGTAAATCAGCAATTGCCATTCCTGTAGGTTGGGACAGACGATCGGATAATACTCTTCGAACTTCCTCATCTTCGTAGTCGGCACAGTGACGAAGTCCACTTGATAGATATTTTGAAGTAAATCTCGCTCCCGCTGTGAGCCCAATGTGCCGGTCAAGCCATACAGCTTACTGTAAAGCTTCAGATAACGCACGTTTGACACGAATACGGCTTTCAAACTCTGCATCGACAGCCTGCAGCCATGCTTCAGTTGCAAGAACTGGTGCAACGCTTCATCCCATTGAGAGTTCGTTTGTTCTGTACCCGTGTCACGGTCAATGATAATAATGTTGGCCTTGAGATCTGGCCTGCTGGCTTTTCTATCAATATCAACTATATAGTCTTGTCGTTCCTGCATTAATAACGCTGTCTTAGCGCTGTTGATCCAGGCGTTCAAGTGCAAAGCTATAAATGGTTTCAAATAATTGGGAATAACAATGGATCTTTCGCGCTTGGAAATCTGCTTGAATAGATAGAGGAGATACCATTCGTAACGCTTGAAGTCGGGTGACAATACCTCCACAATATCTCTTTCGCTCACTTTGTCCTTTAGTAGGTAACCGTCGTTATCGATTATATTATATTTGATCAAACGTTCCCATATAGTATTTATTTGTTGGTCGCTTATATGCTCGTCAATCTTCCTAATGTCTTCCTTCGACAACGAGCCGTACATATTACATAAGACCGCTTGCCTAATCGCCTTATTGTCAACGGTCTGCGGGAATTGCTTTTGGCCCGCGAAAGGCTTATTAATCAATTGCCAGATGTACACGTAAACGGACTCGAGCTTGTCCAGATACGGTAAGTCGTGGGATAAGTACAGTATATTGTTACCCTTGTCGAGCAGCATACTATCCACTTCGTCTATGATGACGTTCTCGAAGCTACGGTCGCCTAAAATATTTCTACCGTAGAATCGATCCAGTAGGTAGTCGCGCTGGAAATCAGACAGCTCTCCGTAAACGATGTGCTTACAGGAGTACACCTCTTTCCGTTTTTCGACGTTATTGTCGCAATTATGCGACACACTAACGGAGAAAAGATCGTAAATATCACTATTAATTTTGCTGTCTCGTTTTGCCAATACCGACGAGCTGGTGATGATGTCGACTTTTTGACCGCAGAACGCCTTCAAGATCGACAATGCCACGACGACCAACGATTTGCCCTCCCCCGTGAATATCTGCATCAGTGTGTTGTATTTATTCCTGAATAACGCCAGTACGGCTAGTTTCTGCGTGTCGCGAAGCCTGAAATTCTTCTTCATATTTATAGCGTTGTCTATCAGACTGAGCAAATCAGCCATGTTATTGTATACGTACTGCAGTTTATCACTATTCTTCTCGGAAAGCTGTATGTTCGATTTGTGTTTGGCGATCTCCTCTTTGATCGCCTCCTCGTTCGTCGTCGTCACTTGCTTCATAGCTTGAATAATATCTCTGATTGCATTTAAATCGTTCAGAATATGTTCGGAAGTGTTGCCGTTGTCTCTGATCAAATCAATCAACTTCTTCGCGTTGCGATCTTCCCCGTTGGTGGGGAACATTTCTTTCATCAAAATTGTCCATTTATCGATCTCACAGTCGTTGAATGTGATGAGAACTTCCTTGGATAAATTCCACTCTCCGTTGTGAAAACTCGATAGAATCTGGAGAAAATCATGAGTATTCATCGAGCTGATTTTCTTTTGAAAATAGGACGACTCGCTCGTTACATTTGTGTTCTTATTCGATTGTAACGCGACACCATTTTTTATAAGAAGCTCTATGAATGCATCTACGAGAGAAGTGCCGGCGCTGTTTTCCAAAGATAACAAGTAGTACGAGGCCCTCTGCAATTCTTCGTCCTTCCATTCAGTTAACACGGACAGTTTGGTCGTCCAGTATTTCTCCTTGATCGCGTACGGCCACTCGGATATTTCCAGCACATGGAGACCGGGCACGCGTTCTGAAATATTACTCAGCAAGTACAAAATGTTTCTTATACATTTCGTCGAGAAGGCCTTATTCCATTTTCTTTGTTCTAATTTGAAACTCAATAGTAACAGAGTTTCCTTCTCATGAATATTCGACAAATATTGTCTCCATTCGTGTATATCATCCAATAAAGTTTGAAAGTGATTTTCGAGTTTTAACAATATAATTTCGTTTAACCATTCTTGCTGTGGATATGCCGCGATTATCCAGCTAAATATACTTAAGCCAGGACGATCTTCGATTACGAAATTTAGTACTGCGTTCACTAGGCAACAGAGTTCGTTGTAGGTAATGTGTCTACCGTTGCATGAGAAAACCTTAGCTATTGCGTGAATGATCTCACGTTGTCCAATGTACTTGGATGATATCTTATCCAGCATGAATTGTAGCTTCTGTCTCTCCTCTGAAGAGGAAAAGTGTTCTATTATGTCGTTCATATCCGCCTTCTCGTCGATTTCTGTTTCGATACTGGAGATAATGTTGTTATCCTCTTTGCTTCCAGGAAGAAACAACCCCTTTTTCATGTACTCGTTGATATTTGTATGATCATTCATCGACTCCACTTCCGCGATGATTTTCGCGCACAGATTAGCTCTGACATTACGTTCCATGTCCAGTCGGAGGAAGTTCTCATTGATATTCAGTAGTGTGTAGTTTTTGTTTGTGTACAAGAGGTATATAACGTCTGTAGATTGTGGATTGTGTACGTCCAACAAACAGATTTGATTATTTCGATCCGTGATGTACATGCAGATGTTAACATTAAATATATACGCTAACAATTCTCGGTAACTCGGTGACAACGGACCATATAGTTGTACATGTCGCACGTATTCTTTGCGTATTTTCAGGTCCTTCATACATTCCTCCCAGCTAAAACGTTCATTGAACATCTGACTAAATCGTAGGTAAAGCTCCTTCAATTTTTTGTCCTTCTTCATATTTTCCCCCAACTTGTTTTCCACAATTGCGTTATTTAAACTTCGGAAGAATTGACCTACCACTTCGTTACAAGAGCCTGCGTCGAGCTTCGATTCTTTGTGAAATTTCTTCAATTTCATCTCTTGCTTACCGACGAACTTGCTGTATTCTGTGTAATACTTTTTCACATTTGGGTGGGCTTCTCCTTTTTCACCCTCGTCCATCACAAAGGATGCAATGGAGAACTTGAAAGCCTCGTGATACTTGCTCACATTTTCTGCTGTACAAAATTTTGAGATCATCTTGCGTTGCGTCTCGTTATCGTTGAAGAAATACTGCTGCAAATTGCGCAACTTTTTATGCAGACCTAGATTAACATGCGGATTACGTTTGACTTTTTGCAAATACTTTATCGCGTTCTTTGGTGTTAATTCAAATTTGTTATTAGCAATGCACTGGCATTCGGCTATTCGTAATGCGATTTGTTGTAGAACAGTTAAACGATGCTTTTCAATTAAGAATTGTTTAATATTTTTTAACTGCAATTGTATTTGAATATCGGATGTGCCGTCTTTCGTGTTTCCTTTTTTATTTTGTGCGTGTTTCTCTTTCAAGCACTCAAATAAATAAATAAAATGAGAATAATCGAGTTGCTCATTTTTTAATTCAAACCACTTATTTAATGAAGCTTGTCGCAAACCTTTTAGAAAATTTTCCAGAGACTTCTCACGTGTTTGTTGAGTCTCAATGGGACAGATAGGAGAAATTGTGTTGAGTACTCTTGTATTTTTTTGCGCAGATGGTTTTGCAAGCATAACAATTACCTCCGATACTTTCATCTGTCCCTTCCTGTCCTCCATCATTTTTCCGGAAGTGTGTCCCATAGCATATTGCATGTACGTCTGGATGTCATAATACAAATCCATATTTGTCCCGACCAGATGTTGAGAATATTGCATGAAGATATGTTTCTGCGAAATATTCTTCCTTCTCTTGGTTTGAGTCTGGAGCTCCGGGCGATTTGAAGTATCTTTCTCTGTGAGTGTTGTACTTGCAGGTTCCGGGATGCTGATCTCTGATATTTGTACATACTTATTGTTAGAATTCGTGGCACGATAAGGAACGTATATCCGATTCGAAGCATTGCTGTCATAATAACTCAACTCGAGTTTGTTATTCTTATTAGTACCATAATATTTTCCTTTCATCCAGTGTGCGCAATCGATAAAAGACATGTCCCAGCCATTTTTGCCGTGGGTGCCGCATTTACCTTCTTTGCCATTCTCGCCATTTTCGCCCGAATTGGAAACTACGACAATACCACTGTCGTTACTAATCACTTCACCGAGGTATCCTCCTTGTCCACCTAAACCAGCCGCACCGCCACGTCCTCCGGGACACCCTGAAGTGCCTTTATACAATACGAAAGTTTGGCCGCCGAACGAAGAAGAAAAGTAAATTTCTTCACCGTCTTCTGTTACAGCCTCTAGGTATACATTGCATCTTTTTTTGCATTTTATTATATCTTCTACTGAACGATTCTTACCATTTAGCCACGATACCCTTATTTGTCCTAAGGAACAAATATTACGAACTATGGTTCTCAAGTTCCTAACCAGAAATTTACCAACAAGTTTCCCACTACTTGGGAATTTACTAATGAAATCTACATAAGAAATTCCTGTCCCGTCTCTTCCGTTCTTACCGTCTCCGCCGCTTTGACCATCGCTACCATTTCCACCATTGGTCCAAATCTCCAGCATCTCCGGATGCAACACGTTATCTGCATGAATGAAAACATTTCCGCCGCTTTCTCCACATTTTCCATGCTCTCCGTCTATACCTACACCGTCGTCGTCGGTTTTCGCTTTGATAATTGTTGTTGCGTCTGAGGACATTCCAGAAATATCCCATTTACACTTGTGACAAATTACAATCGCTTTAGCATACACCACAATGTTTTTTCCATGCCATGTACTGTTCTCCAAATTTTCATTGACATACATGATGCCAGAGCATATGAAACGAACTTCTTCTATGCAAGAGTCATGTAACAACATGGAATTGATATCATTGATGATATCACTTAGGTAAAAATTTCCACCTATTACTTCAATAACGACTTGATTATCAGTCGTCAATTTTTCTAGTGTTACCGGTTTAAAGTATGCTCCGATAATTTCTTGATATTTATCCATAAAAGCAATATGTTTTTGTCCCATTAATGACTGCGCCATGTTTTGCAATTGCTTAAGTTTTATGTCATAATCGGCGATATCAAGGTCCATAATTAATTGAAAGAATTTATCGCTTGGTATGTTAGGTTCATACAAGTGTTGTAACTTCATTATGTCCGGATATTCTTCGAATTTTTCAAATATAGTTAAAAATTCAAGCAATGCCTTGAAAAAGTCAATTTCCTTCATTACGGTGTCACTGTATTCCATTGACAGCTCCAGGCATTTCTCTTTAAGACGTCTCATCAACGTTTCTTCTTTGTGTTGTTCAATAAGATTGTTATATTTCATCAAAAGCTTGTAAGATCTAAACTTATTAAACGGAGACGGGATTTCAACAAAATGTCTGATGTTGTTGAAAGTAATAATTTTCTCTATTAAGTGACTGTCAGCTGAATATTTATATATAAAATTATTTATCTCCTTCACCCAGTATTCCAAACAGTACTTAACATATTTATCCTCTATGTAAGCACGATCGACAGTATTCAGCTGGACATTATGTTCTTTCTCAATGATATTCTCTATTTGCTCCAAGGAATATCCATGATTCCACAGATTTGTTTGTATTAGATTTGAGATATCTATTACTTCCATTGTGAATTCTTTTGCAATCTTGCTATATATATAGTATTTTGATATGTAATTCTGAACTTCCAAAAACTATTTTTAATAATAATTCTATCTGAGAAAGCGTGATATTTGGAAATTTTATATCCCTAGATCGTTAGCTACTCAACTTGGCGATATCTAGAAAAAGGAAAAATCAAACATGTTGTGACATTCATTTACATATTTTCGTATATATTTTAAATGATAAAATATAATCTCTATTGAAGAAAATTTTAATAGGAGGGAGTCAAGACATTATTGAATGCAGGTTGAGTAGAATGAGCGATTACCTACTGCCTTTTTCATTTATATAGAAGTTATATCAGATAACATTTGCTGACGTATCCGTTGGAATCGTGGGAAAGTGGAACTCCAATGTTACATTGTTCACCAACATCATCTATTCCTACGGAACACATACATATTTAACAAGCATGACGCATACTACTGACACTTTTGCTATCGTTTGTATTCCACAAAATATACTACTACAAGCGAAGAGCAGATCGACGGTGTTTCCGGCATCTGATACGCAATTAATTCCTTTGCGTGAGACATCACGTTCGCAACAAATCTATGAGTAGCCGAGGTCGTCTGGCGACTTGTAGTATATACGGTTTAATATGTTCAGTATGTTTGATATTTGATAGTGTAAAAATGATACCGAATATCATGTTTGCGGATCCATGTAACTGATTTCAATTAACTAAATTTACTTGTAGGAATAAAAAGTGCGGCACAATATCTCGGAATTAAATCGCGCAAACACGACGAAATGATGCAACAGAAATTATTATATTTTACATTTAAATATGTTCGGTAAATCGAAAGATTACATTGCAGACCATTCGTAGCTCAATTTAAACTTCCTGCATTTAAAATGTTAAGTACTGACACATCCTTTTATGATATTAACATATGACACATTTAATGTCGATGTATACTTGACACCTTAATTATTAAGTCATATGTATGCCATTTAGCATCTAATTTATCTAACTGTCAATTTATTTATTGCTGTGCATTAATATTCGATGTATCATATGTAATGATTTTTGTGATAATATTGTCTTATGAGACAATTATAAACTTTATAAACTGAGATTATATATATGAGACTTTATAAACAAAACGTTAATAACGTTACAGACTGGTGATCAAAGAGTTCTTTGAAATATCAAGAATTTGTATCTTCTCATAAAAGATGAAATATTTATCGAATATTAAGGACTTGACAATTAGAATATTCGACATGGAAGAATATATTTATGAAATAGATATAAAGGACAAAATTCTTACACAATACCTATCGTTCTTTAGAAATATAAAAAGAAATATCTTTATAAGATATCAAAGATTTGATATTTCGTAAAGAATAAAATTCTCATGGAGAAAATAAATTCATTTATCCAATTTAAAAGGATTTAATATCTTCTATGAAAGAGAGAGAGAGAGAGAGAGAGAGAGAAAATTTTGCACACATATATTGAGATCAATCGGCACTTTATAATCAAACTTTTCTAAAATGTTAAGGACTTGCTACCTTGTTTAAATTTATATAAAAAAGCTTACCTAATATTATGTGCAGTGTTGGTCTTAATATTTTGTTCAGTCTTCTAAGCTTAATTATATTTGTTGAAGATAACAGAATTCAGTCCCGACTTCGAGAGTTAGTCACACACTAATCTGCGTCTGACTGAACGGAGGAAACACTGGCTTTTCCTGTTTGCTGTTTAGTCTTAGGGATTTCCTGACATCTGTGATTCATCTATCGTACCACTAGCAATAAACTCTTGCTTCTGTTATTCGTGCGAATTTCAAATGGATCTTGTCCATTAAAACTAATTAAAACTAATCGTAAGACACTGAAATGTTTAATTTTGTTGAGTTACATGGTCACGACTTTGGTTACGACATTCTTACGAAAGCTATTGTATCTCACTTTGTATTTTTAACTGAACATATATTAATAAGATTGTTGAAATTTTTCTCTCTCTGTTTTTCACTTCTATTTTCGCGTGTATTCTATCTATTAAGAAGATTTCATTTCTTTTCTATGTTTTCGAAAAATTATAGTTTCTAAAAAAATAATGTATCCTGTTATATAAAATATTTGATTACGCGAAAGTTAATATTCTCAGACCGGAAAATAAATAATAACTTTGCAAAATACAAACATGAAAAGAAAGACGGAGAAAGACGAAATGATAATCATGTTTTATAAAGCATAAGATATTCTTATTTTCAAGAAAACCGACGTATTAATATTCCTTCTTAATGATTATTTATTTTGAGAATTACAGCTTTCACAATTTGTTAGCACGTATTTTTTTCCATAATATATTAAATAAGTTACTTTTGTTGGGGCGGATGCTTTGCGGTGGCGGACACACCTATTAATTAGAAATTATTTGTGATGATAATAAGGATGGTCGAAAAATAAAACAGCGCTCTCGGTATCCAGATATGTGTATATGTGTGCCAAAGTATTCACACGTAACAATTTCGTCAGAAAAACTTAATAATAAAGACGCCGTGACAATAGCTGAACCGAGTCTCTCCGTAACGCTCAAGAGAAGAAAATAAAAGTCATGTCAGTAGCGCTAATCTCGCATGGCAATACGTGTATACTGCGTGTTCTAATAATAACACAGATCTGCATAATTTTGCGTTTTGGATTTTAAAAGTCATTTCAGCTGAATACGAATCCGGCCTTAGAATTTCTCTATCACGTCAGGTTTTCGAGATAATTAGATTTAAATAGCTAAAAAATGCCGATTTTGCCTATATTCAACCAATTATTGCTAACAAAATAATTTCTTTTCAACAAATTCACTAACGGAATTGTAATGTACTATTCTTCCCCTTTAAAATCATATAAGATTTTTTATTTTACAATTATTTTTGACGGAGATATTGAGGTTTATTGATATTGAAATCTATGAGACTTAAAGCGCATTATAATGCTTTGAGCTCGTGGTGACTGGATTAAGACAAACATAAAAATCCCATAAAGTTTTCGGCCAGAGGAAGGACAACGTGCCGCTATTTATATTTTATCTCGCCGCACCTATATCTTGCCGCACACCTCCAACAGTTACTAGATCGATTGTAGCCCGAGAGGCTGCAACACTTCTTCAATCATCCATCTCGGCGTGCACTCACTCAGATTTCTGTAATTAATAACTCGATAATTATCGATGAATATCGCAAAATGGTATAGGATTTTTATGTTTGTTTTAACCCGCTCTATGTTTCCACGAACTCTATAAAAATTGTTCTGGGTCATCCTGTTATATTCAGAATGGGTGTGTTTATTAAGCGTTCTTTGAGTATCTCAAATGCATGTTTTTACCCCTCTCCGAAATGGAAATTTGCGTTTTTCTTGATAGAATCGTATAGGGGTTTAGCTATGATCGAATAATTTTCTTATGATCGAATAAACTTTCTGAAATAAGAACTTAAATAATAATCCTAGGAAGCTATGCATGTCCCAGACGTTTCGCGGAGGTGAGAAATTCTTCACTGCCTCTGGCCCTTCATCCGTCGGTCGCATGTCTTCATTAGTTTTAGTGTATCCTAAATAATCTAACTTTGTTTGGAAGAATCGAGATTTATCTAACCGCAACTCTAACAAATTTGTAATAAACAATTTGAAGCTCTTTTTAAAAAACCTGGAAATGATATTTGATTGTCTCGGTAACAATAAGGAAATCATCCAAATATACTAATATTTCTTTCGCATTAATTTGATCTTTAAATATTTGTGCGACATGATGTTAGAATTTAAGAGAGCTCCTTTTAAACCGGAGGGCATTTTCACATATTTGCGTACTATTCGAACGTGACAAATGAAGTATATTTGATCGATTCATCATGCATCTTTACGTAGAAGAATCCATCTTAGAGATCGAACGTCATAAAGTACTTTTTTCTTCTAAGGGCCGGTTTTTCAATCGTGATTTAAACTAAAGATTATCTGATCCGTAAACCTAGTTTTACATCTTGTGTGTTTTTCAAGCATACACTGAAGACAGTTTAGATAAACTTTTGTTATTCTTAAGTTGGTAACGAAAAGTCATCGCTGTGCGGGTCACTTTTAGGCAAGTAGAGATTTAATTCTAATCTGAGTGCAGTCTTAGGGCACTCACACAACGTGGAAATCTTGCAATATTGTAAAACTTTTCATGACGTCTTCGAACATTTTCTTCTACATTCGGAAATTTTACACATGCAGGTCTATGTTGAGCCCTTGAAACTTTATTAATCATTTTACTTTACTTGCTGTACTTTTATGAACCAACAAAATTACGCTTGTTAAAAAATATCCATTACCATAAAATCTTAATGTCAGTAACATCATTTCATACATACTGAAAGAAACTTATTTCTGGAAAAAATAAAAAAAAATACGATATAAATAAATTTTGTATTATTCTTATAATATTCATTATTAGTAAACACCATATTTTGCAACTAGCTAATTAATTAAAACTAATATAATTGAAAAATATGTCATTTAATTTATATGATATTGATAATATCATATAATATATATTAATATATATTAATAACTTTCAGTTGATAATTGAACAGCGTCTTGAATTTGTTCTATTAACGTATGAACTGTAGTTTTAGATAAGCGAAATCTGAAAAAATTCTTTTTCATCCCAAATTTCAAAATGATTTTTGCCTTACAACACGATTTTTTCTCATGTTGATACGTTTTACATATCTTGAAATATCTTCATCTTCACTACTTTCTTCATAATTTTCTTTATCAAATACCGTATAAAATATTTTATACTTTTACAAATATATATATACTAGGTGCGCAACTAAGTTTCCGGGTTTCGCACATGGATGGCGCTAACGACACATGTAGTCGACATACATGTCTGAAGTTGTGTTCTTTTTTATAGCTTGGACATCTGTTAACAATAACCAGTCGTAATACCAACATATATCGCAACGCAAAAATATTTTTTCTAACAACGAAGATGTCGAGTTTTGTGCCAAATAAACAGCATTTGCGGGAAGCTTTGCTTTTCTGCTTTAACTTGAAAAAAAGTGCAGCTGAAGCACGTCGTTTGCTTGAGGAGGCCTACGGCGAACATGCACCATCGAAAACTACCTGTGAAGATTGGTTTAAACGCTTCAGAAGTGGCGATTTCGACACTGAGAACAAAGAGCGCTTCGGAAGACCAAAAACAATTGAAGACGCCGATCTACAAGCGTTATTGGATGAAGATGATATGCAAATACAAGATCAACTTGTGGAGGCATTAAATATGACTTGCCAAGGTATTTCCAAACGTTTACATGCTATGGGAAAAATTCAAAAGGAAGGAAAATGGGTGCCGCATGAGTTGACTGAGAGACAGATGGAAAATCGAAGAGCCACTTCCGAAATTTTGCTTTTGCGGCGTGAAAGAAAGAGTTTCCTGCATCGAATTGTTACTGGCGATGAGAAGTGGATATATTTCGAGAATCCCAAACGCAAAAAATTGTGACTTTCACCTGGTGAAGCATCAACATCGACGGCATGGCCAAATCGCTTCGGAAAGAAGACAATGCTGTGCGTTTGGTGGGACCAGAAAGGAATCGTGTACCATGAGCTGCTGAAAAGAAGCCGGGTGAAACTGTCAATAGGTATCGCTACCGACAACAACTGATCAATTTGAACCATGCATTGCTCGAAAAACGGCCAGAATGGGACACAAGACACAAACGAGTGATATTGCAGTACGACAACGCTCCGTGCCACTTCCATCGTCCAGGACACCATCAAAACACTGAAATGGGATCTACTACCGCACCTGCCGTATTCGCCAGACCTGGCCTCTTCCGATTATCACTTGTTCCAGTCGATGGCGCATGGCTTGGCTAGGTAACACTTGGCCAATTTCGAAGAAGTGCAAAATTGGTTGGATGAATGGTTTCGGTCCAAAAACGCGTCGTTTTATCGTTGCGATATTCATGTATTGCCAGAAAGATGGCAAAAATATGTAGCTAGCGAGGGACGATACTTTGAATAAACCATTTTTTTATTTCTCTTGAAATTTTCCATTTTTCATTGATCAAAAAAACCCGGAAACTTAGTTGTGCACCTAGTATATATATTTAACAATGTGATTTTAAATATAATAATAGAGACACTGTATTGTATGTGTGTGTAACAACGTTTAAACGTCATCATTCACAGTTTAGTTAAACTATACTTCAAACTACGTTTTATTCTGATCTATCCATTGAAAAACAGTTTAATGCCTTTAAACAGAGTTTGAACTTCGATTTAAGTTTAAACCATTATTGAAAAATCAGCCCTAATAGATCTAACTGATCTTCGATTAAAAGAAGAGGAAACTGATCGTGCGTTATTATTACCTTATTCAACGCTCTGTAATTTACGCATACCCTCGTTTCTCCGTTCTTTTTCTTAGTTAAAACAATTGGTGACGCGTATTTAGACGTGATATATATATTAAATCTTTATATATTTCACATAAACATATGAGTAACAAAGATTATATATTATTGTGATCAAAACATAAGGTGAATTTGTTCATAAAATGAAAAATCTTTATTTATTCTTCCAAATCAATTTCATCGCCTTCAAAGTACTCCCCGTCCGACACAATGCACTTATGCCAACGTTTTTTCCAATCCTCGAAACAGTCAGAGA